TAGTATTAGATCAATCACAACGCAGAACAATAGTATTAGATCAATCACAACACAGATCAATAGTATTAGATCAATCACAACGCACAGAGACCACATCGATACCAGCACCTTCATTACAATTCTTCACGTGGCCGTCTCTGACCCGTTTCTTATCGGTCCCATCAATTACCGTGCAGCTGGTGAGTGCAGTCGAAAGCCAGATCTACAACGCGTTGACCGATGCGCTGCGTGTGTGCGAAGACAAACTCCAGGGTACAGTTAACGAGGAGACAAGCACCACCCAATCCCTCCAGGGGACAATTAAAGAGGACGCAAGCAGCACCTCATCCCTCCCGGGGACAATTAAAGAGGACGCAAGCACCACCAAATCCCTCCAGGAGACAATTAAAGAGGACGCAAGCACCACCAATTCCCCATACACCGTCTACAGCGAATCAGTGCGAGCGCTGTTATCCGAACCCGAGGCTCAGCTATTCCGCATTGGCTTTGTAAGTGGGTTGGTGTTGTGTGCATGCCTATTCACGTGGTTGGTGTGTGTGCATGCCTATTCACGTGGTTGGTGTTGTGTGCACACCTATTCACGTGGTTGGTGTTGTTGCACGCGTGGTAGGTAGAATGTTCGTTTATTGGTGTGTATGTATCTCCTTGTATGCCTGCTGATCGGTCTGTATTTGTGCACGCGTGGTAGGTAGAATGTTCGTTTATTGGTGTGTATGTAGCTCCCTGTATGCCTGCTGGCTGATCGATACCCCATACGGATTTGTGTAACAGAGTGGATAACATACATCTATCCATGGACATTGACAGCCCTCCAGTCCCGGGGCTTAGAACATCATCTGTGACCTCTAGGTGCACAGGTGCAGTACAAGACCGTCTTGCCATATGTATTTGATATCATATCTCGCCTAAGAATAGAGTGCTGTAGGTATTCACAAAGACACTCGCAGCGCATAAGTAACACTCACTTCTACAGACAATGCTCTCCGTCGTTCAGAGACGGGCGGGCGCATGGACATCTCAGCAGTCCCCTCAGACGCACACACTAGCCCCATAACCCTCCACCTCCTCGCAATCATGTCTTTCTTTCTTTCTTTGTTTATTCCGTGTTCAACGTTATAACGCGTATGCTCAAGCTTCGATTAATTAACACTCACTTCTACGTACACTGTGCACAGTCATCCAGAGACAGGGCCATGGACATCTCAGCCGTCCCTTCTGAAGCGAATGCAGATGCCATGTCGTCTGATGAGAACTTCGCATCACAATACGCAAACAAAATGGAGCTTGTCACAGGGGCTACGCCGAAGGTGCCGCCAGTCTATCTGGCCAGGTATGTTAACATGGGACTGTATAACTAGAAAACTATCCGATAGCTGTGATAAAGCATTCTTTTACAATATCTCATTTACAATATATATATATATATATATATATATATATATATATATATATATATATATATATATATATATATATATATATATATATATATATATATTGATCCACATATACGAAAATAATGATAGTCCGCAACGGTGTGTATGACAATGGCACTACGCCATTCCCTGGGTAGAAGTGTGTGTTCTGTTTATACACACGGTATCGTATCGCCACTACGCTCGTTAAGTTGAAGTCTTGGGCGTACAGTCTCCACCGAGCTACCGACTGGCAGGGCGGATGCACTGGACTTCTGTCTACACCAATGCTGTTATGCGCTTCTAATCTACTTGCAGACGCTTGCTTGCTTGATGCACACATCCACCTCGAGCGGATTGTCACATACCAAGTGAGGTGCATAGTTGTCGCTTGTTGCATCGTACTCACTTCCCATTCACCTTTGGACTGTCCTCAGGAACTGCGAAGAGGCTGTGGCCGAGAGTGTCGGCGTCAACAAAGTCGCCGCCCGCTTTTGCTTAGCCACGAATAAGATGGTGTACGTACGCAACACATTCGACTTCTCTGTAAGGCCCGACCGTGTAGTCTCAAAACAGACGGACAGAGCCAACAACGGCGGCAAACGCAGACGCACAGCCCTGTTCCCGTGCACCGATACGAATAGGAGTGGCAAGCGCAGCAAGAAGAGAAAGAACGATGCTTCAGATGGGCTTACGAGCAATGTATTGCACAAACGAGTGCGTGCCGATGGTAGTAAGTCGCGTGTGTTCGATGAGCGGTATCAGGCTAGTTTACGGCAGGCAAATGACGGATTTGGGGGGCGTGGGGATGTGAATACAGCCTTGCAGCTGCTGGGAAAGCTCGTGGACGCTAGTATGGAGGAACCCACGGGTGCAGAAGTACCCGGGAACGACGAGGGGCCAAGCACACACGAACAAGGGTCTAATAAAGAGTCTGACAATGGACCCAAAGAAGGATCTGTGCAAGATCACACGGGGGACGTAGCGGTTGAAAAGGCACTTGGGGCGGACAGAGCACATGACAGGGCACAGCAGGGCGAGGCTGCTAGGTCAATGGACTCAGGGGAGTCTGACTATGAGATGATACTTGCAGATGATGGGGATGATGATTAGTGGTGCCACGTGCGTCAAGCTATATGACCAAGCTGCACCTGTGTCCATTTATGTTATGTTTGATAGTCACTGCCTTGGCAAAAAAACCACAGTAGAGTATAATATTAAAATGGGTTTGATTCGAATGGTTGCTTGTTTCTCTCTCGGCAATTAATTGGTGCTTCATTATCTATAATTTGAACAGACTTTATGTTATTACCATGTATTATAGTGCAAGTCCAATTTAAATTGATTATATGCTAATTCCATGTATTATAATGAAAGTCCAATCAGAACAGACACTAAATACATGCTGTTTTGCTACACTTATGTAATAGCGATATCTAAGTGAGGAACACACGTATACTAGTAAGAAATACTGGCGAAGTACGCATATGCTAGTAATGAACACTGTCAGAGCATATATATACTAGTATTGAACAAATACTGGTTGTTGTGAGAAGCATGTGTAGATCAAATGGAGTGTAGGAAAGGGCAAAATCTCTAGATCGCAATTGCCACGAACTTTTTTAATTCTAAAGAATACAATCCATCATACAAATCCGATCAAGAAAGAGTGACCGAAGAATATGCAAATGCTAATATATTTTCCGCTTTGTCGATGATTGTTATACACACAGTTCTATGTCATAACTATAGTACATCATTGTATATAATTATAGGAGAAATTAACACGTTGTTCTTCGCGCCAAAATCTTGTCAGCATTGCAAGAAGGTTATATACACTGCCTATTTGCATTTCAAGCATAGACTAAAACATAGAAGGCACCATAGCTGTCTGTGAGCAGCAATGACTGAGCCATCAATCACAGCCTGTCTTCATATAGAAGCCGATAGTGTGTGCATGTTTATTTGTGAAAGTATGTCGAACCTTCCGTGCAGAAGAACACAATGACAAAGTCCCATGTTGACGACTGATTTAGTCCCACTCACACAGACATATCACAACATTGCTTAAAGGAGAGTAGCCATGACTGTGCTCCTAACTAAAAAGAGTCGTTGAACTTGATAGTTGATTATATCTAGTCTTGTTGGCATACAAAAACATGACAAAAGAAAAAAAGTTTTATGGAAACGTTTTAATACAAATTTGAGCACCTGACAATGATTTTAGGGTTCTGACGAATGAACCCAGGATAAATACTTTCACTCTTGTGTCAGTGTATATTCCTCACATTCTACTACTTTACAAATTAAAATCGTTTATATAGCACGTTAGACCTACAGAGATGGCCATAAGAATGACTTAGGATCGAGATTCTTGGGGTTGTTTTTTAAAGGTCGCGTATCAATCCGTCGACCAGTATAGTATCGTTGTGGCCACAGTCAAAAATTACCCCGCAGAGTGTATTTTATCACACAAGTTTGCAACATCATAGGCCGTAGCGGGTGTCTGATTGCTGGTATTCCTTCTAGAGTCATATTTTGTTGACAGGGTAGGTGCGAAGTACGTGTCAACGGGATAAATGTCGAATAGCTCAGATGTTTCTAACAGTGGGTCATTTTGAGGCTTTTGTATAAATAGTCACAGTCACACAAGTACTTTTTTAAAAAGCTGAATAATTGGGACGACACTTTCCAATCGTCCAGCAACGCTTGAAACCTACACTATAATTACCTCGGTGGACAAGCGCGTCCTTTGCGCGTCTCGTACCCCACGTTTAGGGTTTTACTCGAATACCCGTTATAAAGTGAGATAGTTAAAAGCATTTTGAGGGAGCCCGGGGCCAGTCATTTTGAGGCTTTTGTATAAATAGTCAGTCACACAAGTACTTTTTTAAAAAAAGATGTGAGAGAGAATAGTCGAACAGAGGTCAAAAAACTTCTAAAGGCAAAAAAGTGAAAACACTAAAACCGTGAAACCAGAAAGTGAAACACAGATATGTACATAGAAGAAAACAGTTGTACATACATAGTTACATACATACGGTGCATCATATTTTTTTAAACTTGTGAGTTGTGCCTTCTGCCCTTCTCACCCTTCTGCTGACCGTCATCGGCTCATCGCACTGATCATATATATGGTCGGTATGAAGCATTAAGTATACCCGGCATCACGGTATTCCAAAGTAGTCCAATGGGATATGACTGGAGTAAGAGGAAGGAGCAAAGGAATACTTGGTTGCTCATTGCTGGTATTCTACAATCCACTATTCGGATTCCTCGACCTTGCATAATCGCATTACGTCAAAGTCTCAAAGAGTGACAAAGACTCAAATGGTACATATTTACATACATAGTCTGTTTTTTGTGTAAATATAATTTTTGTCAAAATTTGGTATCACTATTCGCTACTGTACTAGAGAGAGTAGAGTCACTATGTACTATGTAGTATGTGGACTTCTTGTATCGTGTAGACTGAGAGCGAGTGTGTGAGAGTTCAGCTCACTGCTTAGGCCTCAAACCACCTCAAACCGTTTTATGTTAAAACGTTTATAAATCGAATAAACGTTTTCGTTCAACTTCTATTCCATAAACGGTCCTTTGTATGCTCACAGGTGTAGCTTTCGGGTCTAAACATTGAGGTGTGTACCATTTTGACGATACGAACTAGTCCTACAAAGTAACTTAGATAGGCCCTTTTGAACATATTATAACCGTTGTAACGTTTTAAAATTGAATAGATTTGCGAATACACTATACTTCTATTCCGCACCCCTATAACGTAATGAGCTTAGCCAGTGAGTGAGTGAGTGAGTTCAAAGTCAACACTCAGCAGGCTCAACTCTCCAAGAGAGTCAAGTCTAAGTACGCGTTTCCCCCGAATATCTATACTTCCATACTCGGGAGGCTGGCGATGAGAGGGAGGCTAGAGCTCTAGACCTAAGGAGTAAAGCGTATCTGTATTCTTCCCTCTTCATCTCTTCAGTCACTTTCTCTCTCGTCTCTCTCTCTCTCTAGAGTAGTCTCTCTAGTAGAGAGAGTCTCTACATACAGTCTACAGTCTGCAGTTTCTACTAAATCTACACTCTCGCTCATACAGTAACAGAGGCTCTGCCCTGCATCATATGGTCATTGGTCCAGAGTCCAGAGTTCTAGACTCCAGACTCCAGCAGCAGTGAACAGAGTCCAAAATACAGCACAAAAAACAAAAAACAAACTTGCGACGTAAACAAAATGCCAAAAAATTCAATGAGAAATTTTCAGACACTGTAAAAACAACTATTAACAATGAAACAATAAAACATGTCACAATACGGAATACACTGATTACATACATACAGACAATTTTGCCACTCGCAATCGCGCAAGCACACACAGAGAGAGAGAGTCACAAACCACTCACAGTCATAACTCAATGAACTCATAACAAGTCAAACTTCACAGACATACACACAGTCACACAGTCACATTGTCACAAGTCACAAGTCACAACCAGTTCTCAGAAAGCTGAGCGATAGTGAGCTGTCATCTGTCAGTGTCAAATGTCAGCCGACGAGGACTCGATACCCGAGAGATGAGGCTGAGGGCCAAGGGCCCGAAGTCCCGAACTTCCAAAGCGGCGAGGCGGGCCGGTCTTTCAATATCACAGGTGATCTCATCACACCAAATTGTTACACGTCAAGTGTCAAGTGTCAACACACAAGAAGTAGACAACTCATGGTGAGTCATGACTAATGACACAAGTACATTTATTAACTGACAACTGTCGAGACTCGAGAGTGACGAGACTCGATTCTCGAGTCTCGGACTCTCGGACTCTCGAGACTCGGAGTTAGAGTGAGAGTTGACAGCTATTTTGGTTTTAAAATAATAATAATGATGTCATGTTTCAAAAATAATTAACGTTTTTAAAATCAAAGATGAACTTTTTTTTATCGATTCTGTAGTACTGTTTCACATATTATAAATAATTAAATACTATTGTTTGGTACAATTTGTTTGTTTTCATTGGCTTTCGCTTAATATTTGGCCCAATATTTGTTAAAAATAGGGCAGACTATCAAGTATAGGTTTTCAAACAGTTGACAAATAATTTGTCCAAAAAGAAAAAAGTTAATGTATAACAAACGTTTATATTGTCAAAACAAATACGCTTTTAAAGCTTGACGCGTATTTGACGTACAATAATAAGTCGACAGACGAGTAACTCGAGTATTTATTTACATAAATACTTCCGAGTTCAGCAGTGAGTTCACACTGGTCTTTTTGTTGTTGGAAAAATTACACTTCACCGTTCACAGTTGTTCACACTTCATATATATATAGTTTTTCTTTCTTTTGTTTTTAATTGTATTCATTGTTTTTCTTTCATAAATAGGGTTGGAAAATAAATACCCCATTTAGTTTTTTATTTAGGCCTAAGTGTACCATGCTTTCAGATCGGAATTTTGTTTTGTTTTACAGTAAAAATAACAAAACAAATGGTTTTCATAAAAAGAAAGTTAAAAAAAACCCCAGAAGACCGGATGACCAGAGGGCGGAGGCGGAAGTCGAAAAGACGATACAAAACCTGTGAATTCTTTTATTTGTAGTATATATCTATTTGATAGAGTTGAACTTTGTCTGTGTTAAAAAAAAAGGGTTGACGAACAAAAATGAAAAAGACCAACAGCAGAATGTCATTTTATATATTTTATGAAAATATTTGTTTTAGAAGGCTATGATTTTTTATTATAAAAAAATAGTAGCTGTACATACATATGATAAAAATAAAATTTGTATATGTACAGTGAATAATATAAAAGAGTCCCATGCTCCCACTCTCCCAGGGGCCCCAGTCACCCAACGGGTCCCAACTCCCAAGTCCCAACTCTCCGAACATTCGAAATCCTATGTAACCTACCCCAGGAGTCCAGGGGTCAGAGTTGTCTCAGGCTCCCAAGTCCCAGCCTGGTGCCCTAGCCCGGCCCTAGCCCGGCAGCCCTCCACACTCCACAGGCCCACAGGGTGAGGCCGTGAGGGGGGGGTCAATACTCTTGATCTAGAGTTGCGATCTTACTCATTGTGACCCGCCAGGCGGAAGGCAACAATAACAACTGATATAAACATAGAGCAGCATTGTTTTCTATGTCGGGGAGTTGCAAATATTCACAGTATAGTGAGCTGTGAGTATACTATACATACATACATACATGCATTCATACTAGTACTCTAGATCTGTAAATACTTTAGTATATACCACTTCCCAAGTTCCATGGCTAAATCAGAAGTAATACATAGCTCTCCGTCGGTGTGGGACTGTGGATACGCCCACCCCGACCAAGTAAAAACCTCTTAAATTATTCCGTTTGTACTTTAATTTTGAAATTAGTCATTGTTTGTACATCTATATTTCGAGGTGGGTCGAGTGCAAAACGCGATTTGGGTGTTATATATGCTGGACCATTTCAAAGTGGAAAGTCAGTCGGTAAACAACAACCAAATTGAATCAATATCAATGCAAGCTTCACAGCATTGCTTTCACCACAATCTACATGAGCGACTTTGACATGTTTGGGACAGATCCTTCCTCATACACGCAACAAGCTCGGAGATCATTACGTTCAATTTTCGGAGACGAATTTCAATCAGATACTACTAAGCAACAACACAGCAACTCAGCATCACCATCACACGCGCAGAATATAGTTCCAGCGAAGAACACTATGGAATCGATGCAAAGCGCGGCAGGGTCTATGCCATGTATTCCGACCCCAGATAGCATATTCAATCCATTCAATAATCCATTCAATAATCGTACGTCAAGTACTGATATACCCCAAGTACCAATACAGAGTACTGCAATCCATCAGGAATCTTTCGACTTTGACAGCTTTGGTGCTCTGCAGCGCTTTGAGTTTATCAAAGGAGAAGAAACATGCACTGTACCACAGCGGCAGCAACACATTTCACTCCCACTTAACTATCAGATGTCCAAGGGTAACATAACTTCTGATACACACCAAAAAAGTGATGTTACCGTAGGCCCATATTCTAAACACCCGCGGAGGAGGGGTTCACGTTCAGATATGAGGAGTCACAGCGAAAATCATTCTCCGGTGTTACATATGAGAACTAGCAAGGGAGAACAACCCTCAATTGGCAACGCCAGCGGTTTCGGCTCTAAAGCCGGTTATAATGCTAGTGGTAACAATTTGGACGAAGACTCGCTGGAAGCATTCAACGCACTACAACTCAACTTCATAAGTACCATGCCCTCAGCGCAGCAGGCTAATTTCAATCCGGTGTCTTTTGACCTATCAGGTGCTGTTGCATCAAAACCACATGGGATCACTAGAAGCGTAAGCCTCAATCACACCGACAGTGCTGCTGGTAATGTGAATGTTAAGGGTGAGACACAAGTGGGCGAATTCTTGATATTGTCCACGGCAGCGTATTTGAATCAACAACAGTCCTGGATGGAACAATTACCGGGTTTACAAGAAAGCACCTTTCACAGCAATGGTGGAAGGATACACAACAACACTATTGACTGGAATGCTTATGAGTGGATAGAACAACAACTGAACCGCACAGACGAGACAATCAAAGCAGTTACGGAAAAGATGACTGCGATGGAATCTTCGAGTAATGCCATATCTCCTTCCGAATTGTCCCATGTGAGCGCTCAGGTTTCACATCGATCGGCTGACTTTTTATCTTCGCAAGGGAATCCCAATATCAGTTCACCTATCAGCGATCCACCTAGTGCGACAATACCATCTACCGAACAAATCTACCCACAGAGGGTGAATGTGCTTCAGAGGGCTAGTTCCGATGTTCGTTTCGCTGAGCTTCCTTTGGGGACCAAACCATCCACAACCGAAACACATTCGCGGGTGTCACAGCAACCGGCCGCACAACCGCTCACACACGCACCCTTGAATCGAATGCTCTCTGAATCTATTTCTAGTAGCAGAGGTCGTGGTATTGACCAATCAAAACCCAGCCATTCGCATGGCCCATATCGCAGCCAGAGTCTCACTAACCGGATCCCTGCACCCGTCTCTACCAAACGTGTGGGGCGCAAGGTCAAACCCAAGAAAGTGTGTTCCAACTGCAATGTAACGGCTTCCATGCTCTGGCGTAAGGGTCGGGATGGCAACTATTTGTGCAATGCATGTGGTCTATACGAGCGGGTTAACCACGCTCCTCGCCCGGAGATGCTGTTCAAAGAGAGTGAACAAAGATGGTGACCGTGGCTTCATTGTATAAAGTGCCGGTATGCTGTTAGACAACGTTCGGGTTCGCAGGGTGACTGGTTTCAACGGCTATTGCTTTGATTTTAAATTTGTTATAATCAATAGGAGAAAGAATTAAAGTTCCAACTTGTAACCGTTTTCACAGTTTTGTCCATTTTCGTTCACTACATGTATATTGCCAAATCTGATGGGTCGCCATGACAACATTATGCTGCAAATATAGCTTTGCATACTTCCACATGCACAACCCAATATGAGATGATCATTGCGTACAAATATAGTATTAAACACGCAATTGCAATGTAGTATGTGTTGACTCACAAATTCGGTTAAGGCGTTCCCTCGAGGCCGATCGATTCCATCAGTACAGGCCACTAGAACAGTTATGTGAGACAGATGCGCTTGAGCGATAAATAATTAGTCTTAAGAAGTTGGTATCAACATCGCCGTCAAATGAAGCCATACTGGTCAGTCGTCAGGACATACTGGTGCAATCCTGAGGGTAGTTCACGATAATAAAATGGGATGTCACCAGTAGCATATCAGCCCCATTACTATGCAACGCCTTCCAATACAAGTAAGTTCAATCTGCCGTATACCACTATAGTCGTACAAGGTTTGTCTGTTTATTTCTGTGCAGCTTGACGTCCTCTCCACATTCCGTGACATTCGGCGATGACTTTCTCCGCGTAGGCCTTATCTGATGTTACAAAGAGGTGTGCACGTGCGTGAATAGCCAAGCCAGTTGCTACAAAGATGTATGCACGTGCGTGAATAGCCATGCCAGTTGTCACAAAGAGGTGTACACGTACGTAAATAGCCATGCCAGTTGTTACAAAGATGTGTGCACGTGCGTGAATAGCCATGCCAATTGTTACAAAGATGTGTGCAGGTGCGTGAACAGCCATGCCAATTGTCGGATTAATGATTGCATTCCTACGACAAAACGACAAATGCAAGCGATTTGCTGTATACAATCGGTGTGTGTGTGTGTGCGTGCGTGAATAGCCATGCCAATTGTTACAAAGGTGTGTGCAGGTGCGTGAACAGCCATGCCAATTGTCGGATTAATGATTGCATTCCTACGACAAAACGACATAAGCAAGCGATTTGCTGTATACAATCGGTGTGTGCGTGTGCGTGTGTTTTGCGCTGGCCTAACACTCAACTCAGAGTACAAGAGGATATCAATATAACAGCGGATAGCAGATCCAACAATTTAGGTGACTTGCCTAAGAACACATCTGAGACACATGTGGGATATTGGAGTACCGCGCTATAATTGCGACCAAAGTACAGCCTGTACGACTATAAAGGCTCCGCAAATACACCCACGATATGTATACCAATGCATGTACACTACTACATACGCTGTGGCTATGATATTAAACCGTCAGACTCACCAACATGGGAAACCAGAAGAGGGTCTGCGGATATGTGACGATTGCGACACGAGAGGTGGATAATACCAATGTTGGACAGCTGAAAGCATGTGCTCGTGACCGGTTCAATTGGTAGTCTCGACGAGTATATATACTACCACTGATAAGTGTTACACTACAAAGTACAACTACAACTACTACTCATAACAGTGCAAACAGACACCCCCGCGGAATGGTACAACCCCACATGCAGTACATCTTCATCCGAACGAAACATCAATGTGTATACTACACTCTGTGCTTCTTAGCGAACAAAAGCTGGACTTTCACATCGATAGGCTCACACTAGCCCCCACAAACAACACAGACACAGACACACGGGTAGGCATACCTTTCGCAATACCGTCGAAGGCGTATCTGTTCTGTGGTTTGCCGTCCACTATCTTGTAGTCTCTGTACCATTCCATAATTGATTTGACTACACCAGGACACTGCTCTTCAACGTCATCAATATCTGCGGGGTGCACAGTCCGGTGGTATATGGTGGTAGGTAGGAAGAAGGCAGATTAGCTATCATGAGACGTATATATAACGATTAATTGGTCTGCAGATAAGTGCTACGAGAAGTAGGTAAAAACCAAACAAGTGGTTGGGGATAATAATAGAACCAGGCATACATCAAGTATATTAATACAGCGAGACACTCAACCAGCTGAACAGTGCACGCCTCAGTGCATGCACAATGCACAAACACGTCACTTAGACAGCGTTAAATGGTCTGCAGATATAAGTGCTACGAGAAGTAGATGATGACCAAATAAGTGTATATGGATATTTATAGAACAGACATATGTCAAAGATATCAATACAACGGCCACACACAACAGTGCACGCCCTAGTGCATGCACAGAGGGGCTGCATTGAGCTGGGCAGAACTTAACTATTGGCAAACGATAGCTCGAGCATGGAGGGCGACGTCCACGATTGAACATGGACACTAACAGACACACGCATATGTATACCTTCCTACACTAACACACACACACGCTTATGTATACCTACCTACACTGACACACACACATGCATATGTACACCTACCTACACACACACACGCATATGTATACCTACCTACACTAACACACACACACGCATATGTATACCTACCTACTCCGCATAGGCACATGTGAGCATGTAATATAGGACATGCAAATGCATGCACACGCACACATTCAAAGTTGCAAGCGTGTTGAGCATGGATATCGACACGGATCCCGATCAGCAGAGATGCGGACTGGGGGTCGTTGTTGTTGTATTGTACATCATATGCATGTTCACTCACCAACAACACTCGCAAGTCATATACGTACCCAGCATAGTTAGTATAGAACCATGCCGAAGAAGAATTTGCAGATATTAAGTACCATACACAAGGTTTTGCCACATACTTAGCGTGTAGGGTTTTGCCAAATACTTACCGTGTAGGGTTTTGTTAAACACTTAGCGTAAAGGTTTTTGCCAAACACTTACCGTGTAGGGTTTTGGCCAGTGGATCGTCGTGGTTGATGCAGAGTACCTTCCAGTCACACTCGCCCTCGTCTATAAGCCCCAGCACTCCCAACACCTTCACCTGTGAGACGGTGCCCATGCTCTGGGGCATGGAGCCAATGTCAATGATATCCAGAGGGTCATTGTCACCTGTTGTGGGGGGTGGTAGTAGTACACAGGCGTAGGTGTGGGGGTGTTAGTAGGTAAGGGGAAGGGAAGTGCCGTTGGGATGGACATACCGAGCCCCGAGGTGCGTCCACTAACTTCGAGTCGCGGGATGGAGCCTATACTGAGTTACAATGACAAGTAATATATATGTATATGTATGTATGTATATATATATATATATATATATGTATATGTATATATATATACATATATATATATCTCCGGTGTATGTGCCTTCGTACGTGATCAATCGCGTCTGACCTGTATCATAAACCCATATTAAAAGGATACTGCGAGATACACACTGGTTTACCCTGACACGTAACTGCCATACTCTTATTACTAACTATCACATATAAACATATTGACAAGATGCTATAAGACGCAAACTGGTTCCTCTAATGCCCATTGACCAAAGACATGCCTGGTAGGTTTTCGGCATCCTCCACTTTATGCTCCGGGTCCTCCCATGTCTGCGGCAGGGCACCATAGTTGTACAGCACATTACCGTGGGTTAAAAACCTGTGCACACGTCCATATCAAGTCAATGGAAGGTATGTATCACGGAACGGGAGGGATAGAAGCTTATGCACACGTCCATATCAAGCCATTGGAAGGTATGTATCACGGAACGTCAGTAGGGCGTGCGCAAGCGATATAGGATAGTAGGTCATAACCACTATGCATATGCAGATGTCAGTACTAGAATACGGCCATGCGATGTGCATCGGTTTATCTATGCCTTGGAGATATGGACACTAACGTAGGACTGGAGAGATCCATCCAGCCCACTCCGCGCCACAGACACAGAGAGATATCGTTGTATACAGCGAATACAAGCCTAAACAAAAAGCAAATATAACAAAGAATAGAATATAAGCCTAAACCTGAAGCGAACATAACAAAGAATAGAATATAAGCCTAAGCCTAAAGCGAATATAACAAAGAATAGAATACAAGCATCGGAATACACATCTGCATCTATTCCTTAACAAAGAATAGAGGCAACCGGCTGTACCTCGACCGTCTCCACTACACGGCTTCTGAATACGACCACACCATCCACACGCCCCACAGACACCACAATGCACAGGCAACTCGCAATGGAGTGTACAAGTGGCTACTGAAAGCAAGACACACACACACGTAGCTCTACACTTGCGATCGATTGGAGGCCACGGTCCCATCTACAGCTACAACCCTACATACAACCATGGTCCCATCTACAGCTATAACCCTATCTACGACCATGGTCCCATCTACAGCTATAACCCTATCTACAGCCATGGTCCCATCTACAGCTATAACCCTATATGCAGCCATAGCCCCATCTACAGCTATCACCCTATTTACAGCCATGGCCCCATCTACAGCTATAACCCTATTTACAGCCATGGCCCCATCTACAGCTACAACCCTATTTACAGCCATAGTCCCATCTACAGCTATAACCCTATTTACAGCCATAATCCCATCTACAGCTATAATCCTATTTACAGCCATGGCCCCATCTACAGCTACAACCCTATTTACAGCCATAGTCCCATCTACAGCTACAACCCTATTTACAGCCATAGTCCCATCTACAGCTATAACCCTATTTACAGCCATAGCCCCATCTGCAGCCATAGTCCCATCTACAGCTATAGCCGTATTTACAGTCATAGCCCCATCTACAGCTATAACCCTATTTTCAGCCATAGTCCCATTTACAGCTATAACCCTATCTACAGCCATAGCCCCACTTACAGCCATAGTCCCATCTACAGCTATAACCCCACCTACAGCCATAGTCCCATCTACAGCTATAACCCTATTTACAGCTATAGCCCCATCTGCAGCCATAGCATCTACAGCTATAACCCTATTTACAGCCATAGTCTCATCTACAGCTATAACCCTATTTACAGCCATAGCCCCATCTACAGCTACAACTGGCTCATACTCTCCCCCCCCGTACCTGGGCTTGCCGTTCTTGTAGTCCTGCACAATGGGGTTGTAGTCCTTGTCCGTGCATATCTCCATCTTAGCGTTGGTGCCCTTGGGTATCTCCGTGACCATGTTGTACAGGCCCTCTGTTGAGCTGAGCGGTATATCGTGCCATGGTGAGATGGGCTTACCCTCTCTCTCGAACATTAGATTGGCTGTCTCACCCGGTGCGGCGGTGTTCTGAGGTGTTTCCGGGGGGATGGAAAACGTTAAGAATCAAAGGGTAGTACGTGTCTGTAGGCAAGGCGTACGGTAGTAGGTACAGTGCACTGTGTGGATCGCAATCGTCTCTACACACGACTGAACCACTGGCTATAATGAAGATAGGAGAGGTCTTGCTAATGCCGTTGGTGTGGTACGATGCCAGACTACAAAATAATCTATACTATTAACATACGCATGTATCAAGAAGAGCATGTATATAACTTAAAAATATCAACATAAGAATGGATATAACTTATACTATCAATATAAGCATGTATCAACATGAGCATGTATATAACTTATACTATCAACATAAACATGTATCAGTATAAGCATGTGTATAACTTATACTATCAACATAAGCATGTATCAGTATAAGCATGTGTATAACTTATACTATCAACATAAGCATTTATCAACATAAGCATGTATATAACTTATACTACCAACACTATTAAAGAAATATATATGAATTTTCCAGTAGTGTATTCTGAATTATAAAAAAAAAGTACAACCCATCAAACACATGTGGGTTTCACATATACAGTCTATAAAAGATACATGTAAATTGATCAACATATAAACATAGATTATTCATGGACAACGAATAAACAAACACACACACACACACATATATATATATATATATGCACAGACATACAAACAATTGGTATATATGTATATATATTAATATAAGAGTAAAAAATATGCTTACATTGCAATACATGTATGCATATATACACACGAAATACACCTACATCAATACAAATATATATGCATATTTGTATTTAAGAACAATCACACACGGACACACGCACACACACATATATATGTATATATTATATTCTATACACACACACATATATATATATATATATATATTCTATACACACACGCACTTACAAACGTAAAGACATATAAATACTTGCATATTATTTTGTTTGTATATATATATCTATATAAATATAATTTATATACATCTATTTATATATACTATATTACTATAATCCATTATCATGCACAGAAAACTTCTGAGTTATCAACAACTTTCAACGATCTACACGAAAACATATATGGTTCATTTTTCAGGTCAAAACTATTAGAACGTCAAATAAACTCAGGGGTCAGTAAACTACTACAGTCAAGCGCTGCACCACTCCCAATGTAGTAGCCTAACTATTACATATGTATGTCAGTGGTTGTCTTGCTTATGATTGTGTGCACTAACGTGTATGTGACCTCTTTGGGACGTCTTGGGTTTAAGTTATAGAGATGATATCAGACGCAGAATCGCAAGACATGCTGTTTGCACATATTTCAATATGGACGTGTACAGGGGTTTTGCATTAACCATTTAACTTACAGTCAAATACAAATCTGACCCATACCCACGTCTCATGCTATCGCCATATGCTACTCTTGCACACACATGAACTCGTTTGTGGCTTCTATGGATTTCCGATCTTTTAGCTCAAAGCACGGACTTCGTCAAATGCGTAATTCATACTATTTCATAAGTTGCATTTATGTATTTGTTATACCGACATGCACATGAGTTCGCAAATTTCGGGTCTATTCTTCCAACACACATCCGATACATACTTGAAATCGCATACACTCTTTGTATGCTGTGATTGTAGACTATATCGACACGGTAACATAGCTGAATGTATTCCCAAATACGCAAGGCTAATTCGCCTTGTATGTGATCGACGCAAAAGATTCCCCTGATACTAATTTTATTCTATTGTCGTCATCGCAATAGTTCATTGTATGCCTGAACTTGCATTACTAAACTCAGACCTGACGCATACGCACATCAGAAACTGTCTCCATATGCTGCACGTGTACATCATATCGACACGCAAAAGTATTCCAAACCACGAGAATGTATGTCTATCTTACCTTGAAGGCGATTGACGTCAATGTTCGCGCTGTGAGACCTCTGTGCACACTCCATCGAGTGGAACGGCTCATCCGCCCTAGGCGTGTTAGCGTTGTGGCAAGCATAGTAAGTCACAGAAATATTTGTAGCAGGTGAGTGTGGATATGAATTGGGTTCAGGTTACAGTACAATACTATATTGTATATTGTATAGAGTTTACCAAAAGTGTTCTATTTGAGCTACTGTAGGTTCTGTATACCCAGAGAGAGAGATTGAGAGAGAGTGCGTGTCAATTCGGATTGCACCTTTGCAGTAAACGTTTAATGTAAACGCAAAAATATAAGTGACTGATTTTATACGGTTGAACGTAAAAAAAATTAAACTGCTCACTCGAGAAGTACACGCAGTTGAAATCTCGATGGTACTATTTATAGGATAAACGTTTAGCTTTAACGCTATACAACAATTGTCAATTTGACATCAGACCGTTTTAACGAGAACGGGACGAGGTTTATTCAGCCCTCCCACTGTCCCCACTTGCCACCAGAGCATTTGTTGAGTTGTATTGACATCATGCCCTGACACTTGCACTATATATGGAAGCGTATTCGCGTGTACAGTACATAATACATATATCCTACAAATACATACAGAACCTGGTACCAACACAGCCGGACGGGTTTATTGGTTCGGTGGAGAACTGGAGAGTGGAGAGTGTAGACTCTACCAGAGAAAAGAAAGCTATGTACCGAACTGAAGATGTATGACGGAATAATCGTTCTACAAGGAGATTGTTTCGCGCTGTTTCGCTAATATCTCTCTGCATATGAATTTAAACTCTATGTTTACTTGGTACCGATTATTTTTTTTATCAAAAACAAGAAGTTAAAAAAAAAGTATTTAACTTTCCCAGTGACTGCAAGCTTTGACATGGGCTCAAGTGGTGGTTGTGTTTTATCTTTATTTTTCACGTTTCTACTAATCTATTCGATCTTGAAAGCAAAGTACAAGAGGTAACAACCTAAGCAACACACACGAAGTGAATTGTGCCGGCAACTATGTCCTACTACGATCCGAATGCGCATATGGATAATCAGCAGCAAGGCCGTGGCGGATTCCAAGTATGTGTAAGCGTCATATTAAACCCTAGTAGGTTTGTAGTATGTGTATAGTCGTAAGTTACAAAGAATAGGGTTATATCAAATATTTAACAAGGTATAGACTATCTCCTAGACATACACACAACGCACACACACACACATATATATACAAATATACCTACATACACACGCACACATACACTCTTATATACATACACTTGGTGTGTGTGTACATATACACAGTCACACACACGCCGCGTATATATATATATATATAAATATATGTATATATGTACATAACCACACACACGCATATATATATA